CAGCCAGCTTTTTATGGCAGCGGCTCTGGCTGAAAAACAGGTATTACAGATTTCTACATTAGATGTTATTATACAGGTTTTGAGTCAATATTTCGTTGTGATTCATAACATAGTTAGACACACACAGCAGCACAGCAGTGTGACAGAAAAGATAACCTACAAATCACCACGTGATGACTTTACATTTCTATACAAACTAGAGGATGTCACAGAAACTACTACAGAAAATAATAATAATAATAATAATAACAGCATATTAATAGGCTAATGATAATAATTACAATAGCATATTACATAATAATAATGTATTATTATTATTTATTATATTTGGAGCAAGTGCCTATTTTGAGAGCGATCAAAAATGTATAATTCAGATTAATAGTACAGTTATTAGTCTTTCAAAATCATTTGAATTTGTTGTTATAAACAAAAACTCATCACATCATTCCGTTACATTTTAAGGTGTATTGTCATATAGGCCTATAGGACTACTGTAGGATATATTAGATATTAAATAAGTAGAAATATTTTTCAAAAGCAATCAATCCCTGAAAATGTTCAAAATTAAGTTAAAGGGTCTTTGTGGCCCTTCTTTAGGCAGTTGTTGCAGTACTTTGGTTATAAGTAAAAGAGCTCCTGATGCTGAAAAAACAAAAGGCCAACATGCAACACAAAGTGTCCTCATTCACAGGAACATCCCCCGCGCCCTGCACACCTTCAAACATGAAACATGCAAAGCGATGCAGCAGTGGATCTAAAACTCTTCTTTTAATTCAAATGCATCAAAATGCCTCAAATATCCAGCCGGTTCTCTTTGAAGACTTTCCCCATCATCAGGCAAAAATGGCGAATTCAGCTCGAACGAATCCACGGCGCCAACTACTTTACATGAGTTTTCCTCAAGAAAATTGTTTAATACTAGTCGTTAATTTACCCCAAAGCAACATATTCCTACTTATGACATCCACTAAAATAGACTTTTCATACGTTTTTGAGTAAAAAAAGAAAATATTTTTAAAAAAGTAAAAAAAAAAAAATGTTTCCCCTTAAAGTTGAAATGATCAAAGATCGTCTCCGCTGGCTCGATCACTTACTTGTCTGTCTCCTGTGACATATTTGACTTCCTCTCCGGTTCTTCCTTGTGAAACTGGACTTTCAAGTCGGAGCAGGTAATAGAGTGAGCGAGCTGCCAGAAGTTGAGCTACAGGTAAGTCGACTTTTCTCGCCCCGCTTCTTTTTCTCTCCCTGCCCCTCTCCTCCGCCTCACCTGGCAGGTGAAGGCGCTCCTGTCCCCGCAGCCAATCACACTGCCTGTTTCGTGCTCACGAGGCACGCAGATTGTTACACATATTAACATATCCTGCTCCCACGTACTATTAAATTGGCTTATCTTTTGATAATGGCTGCGGGTCAACTATTAAGGCTGAAATTCTTTCACTAAAGAAGAATTGTAGGTGAGGGCGAGGCGGCCGCTGATTGGCTGAAGCGGAGCGGAGCAAGGCTCTAATTGGCTAGACGATTGGCAAGGAAGGTAGAGGCCCACCTCACCTGCTAGCAAAGGAATTGGGAAACGGGATTGAGGGCTCCATCGGGGACAGAAAACTGGGAAATACCTGAAAATACGAAGTCTATGAGAACTTTTAACACTTAGATTAGATTTTTATCATGACAGTAAATCATTCATTATTTATCATTCTGATGAAAAGTTTGATGCATGCCTGCACAGCGTCTAAAAAAGAAAATGTGTTATCCCTCTAAGAGAGGTGCCTCCCTTTCTCTTTCCGTGTGTGTGTGTGTGTGTGTGTGTGTGTGTGTGTGTGTGTGTGTGTGTGTGTGTGTGTGTGTGTGTGTGTGTGTGTCTCAGGTAATCTCAGAGCAGACAGAAGGCAGGGAGGAGTCCTGTCATTAAAGGACACAATACCATTGTCCCTTTAATGAAGCCATTGTATGAAGAGATCCCAGTGTTTGGGATTACCCTGCCACAGCAAACAATGTGTGTGTGTTTGTATGCAACACAGAACAGACCTGCTGTAGAGGGGCACAACCATTTTGACTACTGACCCTCAACATGATGTTTTTTTTTATTTTTTTATCACTGTTGTTAAAAATATTGTGTATGGATTATACCAATGGGGCAGATATGAGAAATGAATATGAATATGTCCCTAAACCAACACTAAAAATGAGTGTTCACTTTTATAATCTGTTTATCAATATTAATAGAAGTGTAGTAGATAATGTTTTTTATTGATATGGGTGTGGTGGATTTAGGGTTGTTGTTCCATACAATGCATTTGAGGAATATTGTAATATATTGCAAATATTGTACATCTTACCCTTCTCCAGTTGGTTGACAGCTGTTAGTACTGAATATTTCAGTATTTTACCAATAAAAGCCATAATGTAAATAATTTACATTACAATTAGATTTTCAAATAAGAATAGAAATGTATGCATGTATCTATCAGTGTTCAGAAAACATATACATTATATATGTACCCCACCACCACAACCAAAAGGGTACTCAGAAACAGCTCGGGTGCAGTTTCCAAACTGGTTTAATGTCTTTTGGAAATGTTTGCATGACACAACAGGAGCCTTTTGCTTATGTATGCCTTCAGGCGCTCTTGTATGGAAATCTAAAAATTACGTTACAAATTCAGTTTAACCGTCAGTGGGACCATGTGTATACTTGTTTGTGTGTCTGTCTGTCTGTGTGTCTCTGTGTGTGTGTGTGTGTGTGTGCGCGCGTGCGTGTATGTGTGTGTGTGTGTGTGTGTGTGTGTGTGCTTTCATGCACTGTGGATAATCAGTACTGAACCTCTCCATTATGATCCTCCCTTGTCTAATTTGCTTTACAGAGCACCTGTGCCTTTGCCGAGCTTTTTGTGTGTGCATGTGTAAATGGAACTGCTAGATAAATACAGGTGGAGTCCTTTTCTCCCAACAACACACACGGCAGAGAAATCAACAACTAAATGACAAGAGAGTATAAATGAGAAGGATAATAAGGAATAATGCAAAAAAAGAGAAAAAAAACATGAAACATAAGTACAGGCTCCTTTGACTTCCAGGTCTGCAGACCGCTTGTTCAAAATAACAGTTGATATTTCTTGTTGGAAAGCACAAAAAGACAGAACTCAACTGCAAAAAATACTTTTAATTAAGTGATGCTAAACCCCATGTAGGAAGGCCCAGGTTTGGATTCGACCCTGTGGCTCCTATCCAGCATGTCTGTCAAACTTCCGATTATCACAAAAGACTCAAAACACATTTCAAAGAAAGACAGTTACAGTAGAAATGTCAAACAATATAAAAGACACAAGTAATAAGTGGCACAACAAGGGACAAAACTTAGACGTAAAGAGGTGCAAAAACAACCACAGTTAAGTGTTAAAGTACCACAAAGACATGTAAAACTATTTTGAAGAGTCTCAAAATGATTGAAAAGAGAAACAAAACAGAAGAAAACAAAAAGAGACATTAAACTGCTACAGAATCACAAAACTACAACAAAGAGACACAACACTATCACAAACTATTCTTCAGAGAGACACAAATGATGAGGCAGTCCTTTAGGGAACGGAGGCACATGTCTTACATGTTTTACATGTCTTGGCACAGGGGCCCGTAGGTATGTGTGGATTGTGTTAATGAAGATAATTGTTGTGTATAATCTGTTCTCTGACTTTCTCTACATGGCTTCTCCCTGCAGGAATGTCTGCCATGTGGAGATATGACAGCTGGAACAGTGAGGAGGCTACCGTACAAGCTGCCACAAGCAGGCATGGGCAAGACTGGAAAGTCAGGGGCCACAGAATACCTCTGTCTGTGTGTGTGTGTGTGTGTGTGTGTGTGTGTGTGTGTGTGTGTGTGTGTGTGTGTGTGTGTGTGTGTGTGTGTGTCCCACTCAGGTGAAAGATGTCTCCTACATACTTGGAGTTTTTTTGCAGGGTGAAGCAGCTTGTCTGGACTTGGTCAGGATTAGGAGTCTGATGTTTACCTGTGTCAGTGCAGAAACTCACAGCTGAGACAGACAGTGTGTGCCTGTGTGTGTGTGTGTGTGTGTGTGTGTGTGTGTGTGTGTGTGTGTGTGTGTGTGTGTGTGTGTGTGTAGTCCAGGTGGACAGCAGTGATTAAAGGAGAGCGTAAGTTAAAAGATGACAGGAGTTAGTCTGATTTAAAGAGGTTAACAGCAGTACAAAATCTCCACATCTTTGTACACATTGATGACAACAGAAACCAACAAATTCACTCTGGACTCATATTCATACTCATCAAACAATTATTATGAACATAGTGTCATCTACATGGATACATTTGTATGCTTCATCCTGACATGTATTCATTTGTCCTCTTTTACATTTATGGATATGAACAAGTACAGTATATTGCAAAAGTCAGAGAGGTGACCTGACTGTCAAAGTCAAGCTACAGAAACGGCAGGTTTAAGGTCATGACGAGGATCTTGATGGCTGAAATTCTGTGCGATGATATAAACCAGAGACTCATTTTTAGATCCAAGATGCCATGGGACAAAAATACAAATCTTCATTAATACATTAATAAACAAATTACACCTATTGAAAAGATTTTGAAACTATAGCATGGTTATCTTGGGATAAAATGAAAAATACTTTGTACTCTAGATAAATTGGTGTTTAAAAATATTTACAATAATGGCTATTTCCTGTTTCTGTAATTAGAAGCATAAGAAAAAAAATAAAGATGAGATTTTTCCCTTTTAGTAAAAAAAATTATTTGAATAAAAAAAACAAGCAAAAGTATCCCTTTGAAGTGACTCTGCTTCTAATGAAAGGTGGATCATTGATTCATGCCGACTTAAGAATAATTTTGGTGTATATATTGATCCAAAAACCTGCAGATTAAAAATATTAAAATAGAAATGGCAAGCTAGGTTAAAAACATATGTTACATTGCATTGTGTTAATTGTGTCAAACTAGCAGAAAAGTCTAAATAAAGTTTTGTGCATGTAGTTCCCTTACTCAATATTAGAATTCGCCTGTGGAAAAGTCACGAGTCATGAGTGTACATGCAAATTGTTGGGAGGGTAGCCATGAAACCATTACATTACAAACTGTGTACCCAACCTTTAGAATGAAATCAAAGCCAAACATATTATACTCAGGAAAGCAAACCCCCTCACATTTCAAAGCAGGTTTGTTGAAATTGACTTTAGCGCCAGTGTTGCTGCTTCAATTTCATTACAGCCACAGTGTGTCCAAATATCAGAGAGCTGCTGCTGTAATGTGTGTTACTGAGCGCTGTCACCACCTTCACAATCAGCCTCTGTCTGACCGACAGCAGACCTCACCTCTGACTCAGTCGCACCCTACGCATATTACTGTGTGTGGAGGTAAGACATTAACTTTGTTTCTCCCCTGAAGGCATGTTTAACCCTCTTGATGGGATCTTTAGGGCATCTCACGGTCAGATTGAATCAAATACCATCAACAATTGTATTTGCATCGCCCCACATGTGATTTAACCTTTACCCCTCAAATATTGAATCATTGATGGATCATTTTGGTAGTTTCATTTCTAAATTAATTTCATTCTTCTTGTCCAAACAAACTGTGAAAACACAGACGTGAAATGCAAAACCCCTGTGTGGACAAGTGTGTGTGTGTGTGTGTGTGTGTGTGTGTGTGTGTGTGTGTGTGTGTGTGTGTGTGTGTGTGTGTGTGTGTGTGTGTGTGTGTGTGTGTGTGTGTGTGTGTGTGTGTGTGTGTGTGTGTGTGTGTGTGTGTGTGTGCGTGCTATATATGTCAATCATCTCACGTGGTACAAGGCCTCTTAAGGCAGCAGTGAAAGTTACCAGCATGTGGGATTTGTTGTGACTGTGTCATGGCTCGTGTGTTTACGGTCCGACTGGTCCGGCAGCATTGTGGCATGTCATGGTGCAGCAGCAGCAGTGGACTGTGGCAAAACCTGTTTGGAATAAAGGGAAAGTGTAAGAAGAAGGGAAGCGACCAATGAGGAAGATGAAATCCAACTTCCTCTTCCCTCAACAGCCTTCAGAGAAACAAGGAGGTCACACTCACCTCTGACAGACACCCCCCACCTCCTTTTCCTGACAAGTTTTGTTTTATAACCAAGTAAGACTGTTTCTATTGGGGGAAAAAACTCTTCACCTTGATTTACCCTCTTGAAATGAATCCCTTTCTCTACAAAAACTGCAGTTTGTCGGTTACAATATTATTCACACCAAAAAGGATCCCTCACAAACAAGCTGAAAATGTACCTGAAAGCCCTCTTGGCAAGAGGAAAAGACCCAAATGGGGGGGGGGGGGGGGGGGAAGAAATCTCAGGCTGTCTGCGGCAAACCCCTGTTCATTCATACGCACAATACCCAGCCATATAATATTCTCCTCTACCATTGAATAGCTGACACCTGGAAGATTTGCTTTCACTCAGGCCCCTCAGGCTGCACAACCTCACCCCAAAACCTAAAGCTAGCAAGTCCCTGCACAACATCTGCAGGGTAGGGGGAACTTGAGCAATGTGTGGCTTTTGTCATCCCACCCCTCTCCTGTCCTTTCCTTTCTTTTTTTTTTTCTAACTTTTTGCCCCTTTCTGAAAGCATAATCACACCCTTCTCTCCTGAGAGATATTTCCCCCTGCTAACAAAAGACTGAAAGGTTTGTTTCATTTTTTATGATGAGGAGAAAAGATCAGGAAGGTTGGGGGGGGGGGGGGGACTTTTGTGACTTTGTGACTTTTCTCACAATGATAAGATTTCTCTTAAGCAAGTCATGACACCTTACAGTCTGGAAGATGTCAAATTAAATGAATCAAATCGATTCTGTTCATGTCCAGCTTAGTTTTTTTTCTCTTTATTTATTAATTATATATTTCTTTTTTTCTTAACATACTGAAGTTAAGTACGTGACTTGATGTTTTCATCATGTGATAACTGGAGTTGCGTTTAATTTGCATATTAGCTGAATGTAGTCAAATAAGGAGATGAGATGAACAGCCTCACTGTTCTCAGCCAACAGCAGAACCTGAGCCAAAGATAGAAAAGATACAAATCAAATGCAGCCTGAGAATCCATGGTGTACACCACAGGTCATGTTGTCTTTCTACAGTTAAGTTCTATTATTATGTGAATGCCAAATAAATGCTAAAAAAATAACTAGCAGAATTTAAAGTAGCCTAAGTATTTCATTTAAGAGTATTTTAATGATTACTCAGGTATTCCAATGCTACAATCATTTGTATTTATTTATTTAAAATGTATTTAACCAGGAGAACATCATTACGATTAAGAATTTAATTTACAAGAGCGTCCTGGCCATCATGACTTGACATGTGTCAGTATTAGTTTTGGAACTCCCATGGTCACTTTGTAGAGCCCAGCAGTGAATATGATGAAGATGCTAAACACTCAAATCATTATTAAAGCCTGATGTTTCACTGGAGTCTCCCATAAAACACACACACACACACACACACACACACACACACACACACACACACACACACACACACACACACACACACACACACACACACACACACACACACACACACACTGAAGCACGTCCTGCCCCCTGGTGTTGCTTTGAGGGATCAGCTCTCTTTACTTTTAGTTGACAGGCTTCCATTTGTTTTTAAGAGGTTTTGGTGCAATACAATTTGTAAAATTACAACTAATAATAATATTATTGATTTTATTTATATAGCACATTTAAAAACAGATGTTTACAATGTGCTTTGACAGACAAAGCAAAGGTAGGAGTTCAGGACAACAACACAATAAACGTCAACAGTCAGGCTAAACGGAGATAAGTCCACAAGAATAATATAAATGAAATACAAGGAAATAAAGAAAAAATAATAACAATAAAGTCTAGGTGTTAATCAGCTAAAAATAAAGGTTAATATAATGTTTAAAAAATGGTCAGCATATAGCAGTTAATCAAACAAACAAACAAACAAAAAGAGAAACCAAACCAATAAACCAGCACAAAAAAATCTGTCAATCTGTGACTCAAATGTTCTCTTAATGTATGGATGCAATTTCCAATATCTTTTCATTTTTTTAAAGCTAAATTAAATGTGACAAAAGTAGTTAGGTTGAGTCCTCTGTATTCCAAACTGCCCACTACATACTACTATTGAAGGCAGTAAACAGTATGTACTGTTTACTGCCTTCAATACCCCCCCCCCCCAACTCTAACTGCACATTGTTTTATGAAATTACTGTCTTTAAACCTATAACTTTATGAAATGTATTAAAACTCTGGCTTATTATTATACTAAATTATTATTTTAAATTCACGAACCATGCTGACTGTGATGTTGTCGAGGACTACAGGCGCTCTCCTGGTTTCCTGCTGTGCTTGAATGTTGTGTTGTTTGTCATCTGTCTTATTCTTGAGAAGCCAAAGACAATTTTCCACTTTGTGGACAAATAAAGTTCTATTCTATTCTATTCATACTGCATACTGTGTTCAACAGTAGTATTTAGGATGACTACCAGCTGACGGCTGTTTTGGCAAACTATGGATCTTGCATTTTTTCACATACTGTATTTTGGCCAAATTGGTACATACAATTAGTATAGAAAAGGTGATTTCTAAACAACATTCTGGGTTTCTCCAACTGCAACATGGACCATGATTTTGAACTACCATAATGTACAGAAATTAAAAGTACAAGAAAAGCAAGATCTTACAGGCAGCACAGAGGACTACTGTCTCCCAGTAAAGAGGTTGAGGGATCAAACCTTGGTACAGGCCATCCAGTGTTCAGCTGGAGTGATCTGGGTTTCTCCCACTGGAGATCTATTTGAGCTACACTAATATATTGAATTTAGTACCAAGTACAAATCCCTAAAAACTACAACTGGCAACACGGTGGCGTAGTGGCTAATACTGCTGCCTACCATCCAGGAGGTTGTGTGGTCAGATCTTGGTTGAGACCATTCAGTGTTAAGCTCCCATTGCAGATGATTTGAACTAGTCGAATAAACTGAAATGAAAAGAACAAACTCCCTATAAGAGCTTGCACTTACAGGCTACACGGTGGTGTAATGGCTACTAGAGGATGGGTGATTGATTCCTGGTTGAGGTTGACCAATGCTTTAATTCACCCTAATACAGAAAGAACAGGAAGGGACAGAGTGGCGTAGGGCATAGCAGAGGCAGAGGGAGAGAGAGGAGGGTCAGGTGCAGGAAGTGAGAGAGGAGAAAGAAAGAAAGCCTGGCCCTAACATGCATTATTATGGACAGCAAAAACATTATAAAGCAGTAGGCCTAAATAAAGCATAGCTTAAAGCAAAGCCTTTTATAAGCAGAGATAACAGTCTGCTTTGATATAATTCTGCATAACATGTTTCTTCATGAAAATAATTTCGTTATTATATTGATATGTAATTACTAAACTCAGTCACCGGGGGGCAACCTTTCCCATGTCATGTATCTGTATTGAGCAGTTTAGCATAGTCTGACAGTACTACCACTGCATTGATGGGCCCCTCCACGGTCGTAAACAAAGGGTTAAAAGGCTACCTCAGTATGTCCGTGGGGAATTTAATTGTTAATTTATTTTCCTTCTAATGCTTTGCAAAAACAGTGCATTGTAAGATCAGAACGTTTCTTCTTACATCACCTATTTAACAAAAAATCAAAATAACGATAGCTGTCCTGCTTTTTCTTTATCTGCCTTTCACAAAAATTGCGGTTTGGAGAAGTGTTCCTCAAACATGTACTATCTTTCATTAATCTTTAAAATTGGCGAACTCTAAACATAGAGGTAGGCCTACGTGTTTTATTAATGAACCTTAATGTTTGCCACTGAAGCCGTATCTTCCGAGTGTCCTTAAACGCAGCAGTCTCCTTCAGCTGTCTGAGAACTGGGCAGCTGTCACTTGATTTTGTGTACCCGGCTAACAGACACGTATTATTGTTTTAACAGGTAAGTTTTTTTCCATTTTGTAGTTTTAAAAGCTTAAACATGTCGCGGACAGTTTAAATGTGTGACTCTACCCACAGTCTTTATGAAATAATCGTTGCAAGGTTAGCCGGTAAGCTAACACAGTTTAGCAGAGAGAGCTGAGTGTAGCATGTAGCTAGGCTAACCCACGTTATTTTGCGTTATTGTCACCTAGTGTTCAGCTCCGGATTAAAGATGGAGAATTAGTGGAAAGGAAAACAAACCGGACTCATCTTCCTGGATCTGACCCAGTTGTGTTGTAGGTTGTAATGCACTGTCAGGTTTTATCCCGAGTAGCCAAACAGGACATATTTTGCAGCACTCAAAACAGGTCCGGAGAAAGGTATATTTCATTTATAACCAGGACCACTTATTTTACTGTTAAATTAATAATCTTTCTTTATTTTCTCGTTTTGCATCTTAAGATCTTAAAATATTTAGCCGTGGAATGACTTCTACCACCTCATGACATTTTATTTCCCTTGTTCTAAGCACCAAAAAAATAGTGAGAAATGTCAAGACATCCAGTGTTGTTGACATACATGTTCTTCGCGAGTGTAAGCAGATTAACCACACTGTCATGCGCTAACCAACGCTACTAATTAAATAATATACATTGCTGACCAACACCATATTATTTATAGAGGTTGCTAGTATAGCAGGTCTATATTGCCAACAGGCCACAGAGGTCCCTACACCTTCAGGGTTATCCTCTTAATGAGAGTGTGGTCATTTTAACTGTTTAGACACCAATTCAGTGTATTAAGAGGTGAGTAAGGTGCTTAAGGTGATATTTATGGACATTATTACCAAAAATAACTCCATAGCTTATATTTGCCCTTAGGCCATTTAACAGGTTAAAGTAATAATGATAAATTGTATAACACCTTTCATGTAAAGATGCGGCAAAAGTGCAAAAAAACTTAAAAAAAAAAAAAAGTCTGAACAGGTGATCCCATTGTCTCTCTTTTAGGTAACATCCTTTAAAGTGACAGATGTCCTGCCTACTTAACCTAACTTTTACCAGTATCCCCTTTAACCAGTGGTTTGCAACTAGTCTGTACCCATCACCAACTCCTTTTGTGAGCAATCCCAATCCAAATTTCAGATTTTTTTTTTTTTTTCAATCAATGAGATTTATTTAATGAAAGATTGTGCTGTTTGTACCTCAGACAGTACAAAATGTGTGACAGAACAAAGAGACCAAATAAAACATACGTGTTTTAAAAGTGCGTCATGGACTTTTTGACACATTTTTTTTCCAGGCACACCTTTGTGAACCACTGAAAAGAGCTTTAAGACCGACCCACAAGTTGAGAACCACTGCCCTAAACCTTCAGATTCAAGGACTGATCTTATTGTGGATAAGAGAAACTGCTTTCTTAGACCAGGCACTAATAAATGATGTGTGAATGGGTGCCGACAAGAGAGAACTTGTATCCCTCCCTCCCCGCTTACCACTCCCTTAAAAAATCTCAATTGCAAATAAATCTGTAACAACCTGTCAAACCTGGTCCTGTTCCAAGAAACAGGCTTACTACCTTGCCTGTTAAATCCTGCAACTGGTCTCCTCCCTAAATGTCTTACATTAAATAACCCTCTACTACTTTCATGTAATTCTAGGCATTATGGCCCTAACTGTGTTTCACCTGGAGCACTTTCTGTTGAAATGTATGTGACATTTTATACGCGTGAGATTGATAGACCTATGTTTTATTATTTGTTGCGTTGTGACTTCTTTTCCATATGTTTACTTCAAGGTTGAAACTCAGAAATCTGGATTTAGTCAAATGTTGAGTTGCCTGTCTTCAAGGGAATTGCCAGATGATATGTTATAGAGTAAAGAATAAATGAACATCAGATTTTTTTTTTTATCTGCAATGCTTCTTTAACCAAACATAATACATCATCAAATTCCCGTCATTAACAAAGTCTTTGGTGATAGTATTATTTGAGAAACCCCTTGTGAATAAAATGATACAGAATGAGTTTAAGCTGCACCTTTCCTGTCAAAAAGTAACCTTACATTTTCTTGTATGCATTCCTAGAGGGACTATTAATGGGTTTTACTAACAGACATGTTTATAGATGTGTATCAACAATAATGAAAAAGAGATCTGTGTCCACAACACTGATGTACAACGGTGACCATGAATCCCTTTGTCCTCCTCATATTTAGGCTTTACCACCACAATGGCACGTGGGCATCAGAAGATTCAGTCTCAGCAGAAAAATGCAAAAAAACAGGCTGATATGAAGAAGGCCAAGGGTCATGATCAGAAGACGGCAGCCAAGGCAGCTCTTGTGTTCACCTGCGCTGTGTGCAAGGTGAGTAGAGAGTCAAAACTGACCTAAAATAATAAACTGAGTCAAGGTTGGGGAAATGCTTTTTTCTTCTTAAATTTGTTAATTCTTCTGCCATTTGGTCCTTTTTGGTTGATCACTTAGAATTTGTATTTACATCCAATTACAAGACTTTTGCCATTTCCTGAAGTACAACATCGTATTTTGCTGGATATCTATCCGTCCTGCAGTCTCAGATGCCTGACCCGAAAACCTTCAAGCAGCACTTTGAGAGCAAACACCCGAAATCCCCTCTGCCCCCGGAGTTAGAGGGAGTGGAGGCATAAACGGTCACACTGGATACCAAACTGAATTCTTCAAGGCCCAGCACCAACTCTACACTCGCCTCAGTCTGGCAGCATCAGATGATTCGATGTAACCAACATGAAGCTGTTATCTTAATTAAGGCTTTGAATGAGCCAGGTTTTCCTTGATGCAATGCTTCCTCTCATCCAGTCCGGTCTTAGCTTGTGTATGAGAACACTGGACATGAATGAGGCTGTCAGTTCAGGAGCGATGAAGACCTGTACAATCCAGAAACAGTCTACTCTCAGAAAAGACTCCTCACTGCTCCAATGTTTTGTGCTCATAAAAAAATATCTTGCTGCTTGTTGTCTTAATCTGAAACTTGATGGTCCTAATGTCTGATAAAACCTTCAGAACAAATTTACCCCATGAGAATTAACTCAAAGTGTCCTAAAATAAAGCTCAGTTTTGGACTGGATGGGAGAATTCTAATTTGCTGCAGTAAATGCAATGAAAATCGTGACCTCATCTATTTTAGCTTTGAGTATTGAATCAAAATGAGGCAGTGAGATTTTCTTTCATACTAAATATGGTACACCGCCACAGCGCTGTCTGCCTTGTTCTGCTACTGTAATCTGTCATCTAGCTAATCCTAATTTCATGTTTGCTAACAAGAATGTGAAATTTTGCTATAGCCGTTTCCGAGATGCTAAATGAATTGTCAATTGATAACATTTTACGGGAGCTTGTCAGCAACATTTTTATGCCTGGAAAATGAATGTATGCTCCAATGATGAATTATAGCATTTTATTAAATTTTACTTTGTTGTATTTCTGCTTTTCTTGCATGTGTTTTTTTTTTTTCAGGGAACACCAAACTTTGAGATGTTTGTAGGTTGAATGACAAGTTTGAGTCCAAGTTAAAGTCCTTTATTAATGAAGCAGGTTGGATATAAAACCTTTACTTTGCAGACTCCATATAACAATGCTCAAACCATGAAAATTAAAAATATAATTGCTAGAGTAAGGCAGAATCTATAACTTAAAAAGGTCGTTTGTGACACCAGCTGGTGCAAATATGTTGCAATCTAAAGGAACAGAATGGAAAATATATATATATAGTAAAATAATTTACAATACTCTGGTAGAGGATCATTTTGCAGAACAGACACATTTTAAATAGATACTGTGATTTTTACTAGTTAATACAATTGAATAATGTGAAATGTAAATTTTGTCCAGTCAGCTTGTTAGAACTATGTTTTACTGTTAATATTACAAGTGCTTGTTGACATGTTTACTTTTACTAGCATTTTTAAATTGACACAATTTCTATGCAGCTCTGTGGAAATAGCCATTATAATAATTATATACTGTGTTTTAGCCACTTTCAGAGCCTTAATATCTGGCTGAAAGTAAGACCAGAAGACTCAGAGTATAATTGACAGCTGTCTTGGACATTATCCTAGGAGGTGATGTAAATAATAAATGATCCATCAATTGGACAGAATATTGATCAGACTAATGATATACATCTCATTAAGCTTGAACATTTGCTGCAGTTGTAGTTTTCAACAGCTGATGCCAGCTGGCATTTCAGGGAAATAATCTCCAATGTGCAGGACATTATGCATTACATATATCAACAGTCCTGCAATGTGGGTGCAACTTTTGTATACAACATAAAATGCAAAACAGAAGTTAAATTATGTTTTTCTTAACATATGAAGTCAGTCAAAATGAAAGCATCGAGCTGATTACTATTTTAAGGAAATACCACTTTACAGAATAGAACTTTGACGCAAACATGAACACCAGTGCCAAATACAAAAATATATTCAAATTGTAATACAATAAATACCTCAATGGTGCAATGTTGGACATGATACTAGCTTTTATTAACGCCCTGTATTAGCCAAACTGCTGACAGCAGGAAATGACTCAAACTTCTGCGCTGTGTGTCTCATTAACACAAACAATAAATCCTGTTTGAACCCATTACTCACTTGACCAGCTGTAAATCTAACAATAAGCTCTCATTTCCTTTGGCCACTTTTCCCCTGCCATGATGGATGCATCAGATATTCTCAGACTCTGACTCAGTGACAGAAGAGATGTATTGTCCTGTTATACACAGAAGGAACAACCATGGAACTGTGTTTACTGATGTACATGACAGATGGATACACACACAAACACACACACACACTTATGCAAGATATCCTTTTTTCCACATCTGCCTTGCTGGAATTTAGAAATGGTCGACCAGGAAATATAAGGCAGATAAGCTCTCACACAAAATGAATCGGGCTGCATGTATTTAGCAATATAGGAATTAGTAATATTAACAAAAGCAATATATTATCTTTTTCCAGGCGCATGTCTCACTTCGATGAACAGACAAAGGCAAACTAAGTACTGCTCTACCTTCACTGGTAATTCATTTAGACCAAATCAGAAAACAATAATTGTTAATATATATTTCTATCTCTTTACCTCCTTAGAAAACTCCATCAAAAGAAAACTGATTTAGACACACCATGTTTTTCCACAACATGTTTTCGCTGGAATTACTGATTATACCTCCAGTTCAATTTCTATTTTTACTAAGACTTAGCAACTGGGTGTTTCCAGTGTTTGTAGTTTGTTTCTTAAAGTAACATTTTGTGATCATCACTTTCATTCATATTGCATCATCTGCAGCTGGAGGTTTCCATGAATATCTCTCGACTTTCCCATTGCATCAGTAGAACACTTTTTATTTACTATTAGCATCATAACCTTTTTACAAACGTATCTGCTTTGAAGGAGGGCTGTTGTGCCTTAATGGGCCTGACTACGAAACTTTTCTGCCTGACAGTCTACAACCTTTGATGAAACTATTTTGCCATATGTCTAGCAAGAAAGACCAGTTGACATTGTTGTGTGATAAGCTACTCTAATAAATCACTGGTTGCTAATTGCAAGACCTGTGGAACTAGATAAATATAGATGGTGGCTTGATAGGCTACTTGGGGGCAATGGCTCACAACTGAAATTGCTCACCTAATCATAGTGTATAGTTACTTTGAAGCCTGGAGAAGGAGAATATTTACTTCGACAAGCCTAGGATTTAAACACAATTTAAATGTATATTGTTGTATTTAATGTATGTTCAGGGTTATATACTGTGTGACCTGTCAGACAGGCTCAATAGATTTGACCACTGATATGTCTAAACATAATTAACATAACTTGCTATTAAAGTCAAGTGTTTTCTCACTATTTATTTACTACATTAACAGACTTGCTGATTACTGTGTGTGTAACACATATGGTTCTGAATTGTCTATTTGCATATACTAATCATCAATTTATGGTAGTAGTAAAACTGAACTCAAAGGGCTGGCATATGGAGCTTTGTCCATCGACGTATGCCCAGATACCAAGTTTCCATAGCAACTACTAGTATGTAGGACACTTGTGCAGTGGAGATCTAGAGCGAGACCCCTCTCACTTCCGGGTTGGATTTGGTTCGTCCTGGACATATTTATCGATTGATTTTGTTGAACTATAAAGCGGTATATAGTTTTCTGTCCCTGCTTTGTGAGAAATCCGTTTCTAAATCTATAATTATCTGTAACATTTAGAATCGTTCTGAAAACGCTAAGGACAAAATATATGAACTACATGTCCCACAAGTCTTTGCGGGCGTTGCTGTACAAACCCTTTTTCACGTTCTTGAAATAACACAATTAAAGCTATACACTTAACATGGCTTAACATAATTCTTGAATGTAAAACATGTAACAAAGTTTAAAAATGTTTCATGTATCCACTCTCTACGCTTAAAAAAAAGCCTGAAAAGATGGTTGCCCTAGCAACCCAAGTCTGACGTCATTCGTCCCGGTGCGACCCTGCTGCTGTGTCTTTGATTGGAGGGAAACCCCGTGGATGAGCGGGAGAGATCATCAGCTGTGCGGCCGGGAGTCAGGAACAGCATCGTCTAAAGACACTCACAGGTTAGTACAAACTTACTTATCGCTCATAATCGATGCTATTTTCGACGGGAAACCGTTGAAATGCCGTCTTGTGTTGAGGGAACCCGTTTAATCCCGCATGAATCGTTGTTACTGTGACCGTAAGAGGAAACCAGTGATGCGCCGCTGCTCAGTCATTGTTCGGCTCTTACTGAATGGGAAGCAATGGTGTACTTTATCTATTTCCTTCACTGGCTCTGTTTAGAATGCAGCATTCGGTTATACACAGTATTTTCTATGGATGGAAGAACCTTAAATGTGTTCTTGATGCTCAAAAAAACCAACATTTTGGGTCTGTGTTCCGGAAAACGAAAAAGGGCGTTCACTATGAAACAAACCAAGCTGGGCTCCTTTCATTGTAGTTGATGTGATTCGGTGACACCATTACGGGGTTTTTATCCGCCATCTTCAGCTATATTTAACGTTTTTCCTCATTATGTAATAAAAATAAAAAAGCCATTTGACGTAGTAGACTGTTCTTTGAGGATTTGAACCCCTCCCGAATACAGTAGGAGCCCAGTGGGCAGGTGTGTGCGTGCGCGTGCATGTCTGTGTGACGTGAAACTGGGTGGCCAACATTCCTCAGAAGGGTGCAGGTGTCTGCGTGCTGGCAAATCTGACTCACTGGTCGTGGGATTTTAGAAATGCTGGTCTCATAGGCTTGGTAACGTTACTACTTCATTGAACAAGGCAGCTGGTAAGCAGTCATTTTCAGATGATGTTTTATTTATATATATATATATATATTTATACTGAGTTAAAATGAGAATAAGACCAAAATTAGACGTGATGGATTACGGCCATTTTGGTTCACCTGTATTATTCTAAAAGCATTCTCTGAAACAAATTAGACTTACATTAAAGGTGATTTACAGCGATTATTTCGATGTTTTTTAGATTATGTAACATGCTGCAGAAATTATTAGGTTATTATATTATTATTTTACTGTTTCCCTGCAAAAGCAATGGATACACGAAAACAATTCGAAAACTGATATTTTGGTAGTTATTCATATTTTATTGCTTATTTTAAAAAAATAACTGATATATTGATTAATTGAAAAAGGCTTTGCAAGCTAATTTAATATGAAAGAAATCGTTAGTTGCAGCCCAATACAGCACCCTCTATGGGTCACCTTGTGCCTTGGGCAGTATTCTGATACTTGAAAACCTCTTTATATTACATTCTACATTTCATTACCCAAACAATTATTCTAGAAAAACATCTACTGCTTATTGCAATGGACAAGTTGATTTAGTCAGTGAAGCAAACTATAATTATTGGATGGGATATGTAAAGGGTTACTTGCAGCCTCTCAATACTTTCTGTTGTCGGTTTGGTGGCCTTTCAATTAGACAGCCACAAAAAATGTTGAAATTACAACATTTGACATGCTATTATATAAATATCTGTCTTTCAGCTTAATGTGAATAGGTCTGCATAAACTATTTTGAGTCAAGCCTTCTGTATACCACTTTCTCTTGTTGTAGTGCTTATGTCTTGCTTTCCAAGTAAATTTAGTCACCAGTATAAATCAAGTCTGTGCCAGTCTGTGAGTCCCGATGAGCCAAGCTGGTTGAAATCCAAAAAACACAAAGCTTTTGGACACACCCAAGATGCATTCAGTATTACAAAAAAGAGAAAGTGAACCTCTGATGAGATTTCAGCACAAAATAAAGGGATGAATATGCGGTAACTAATGTGATTTTAGTGAAAATATCCAATTTGTTTAACACCGTCTTCTTTTTGAATCTAATATTCTTAACTATTTTAGGGTCTTCAATATTTTTCTTTAATTCAAATGTGCATTT